CCCCAAAACCCCAAAACCCCAAAACCCCATGTCATTGAGATCGCATACTTGATGTAACAGATAAATTTAACTTCAGATAAAGAATTTATTTGAGTACAATTAATTAATGGATTACGCGAAAAATTAGAACATTGAAGATGCAGACTTTGAAAGGCATTTCGATGAATCTGTGGAGAGTCCTCTCTTTCATAAGCATAAAAGCAATTTAGATTATAAGTAATTGAGTCCTGTCAGCTTTAAGGACTAGGAATTAGATCCTAATCAAGGAAGCTTACCAAAGAAAAGTAAGAGAATTTATTTACAAAAGAAATACCATAAAAATTCTAATTTCTTAATTTTAGAGAAATTATACCTATTAATGAGACAGGCAAACAAGAATGATTTTCATGACTAGAAGTATGCATAGTCTTTTGGCAAGTAGCTATCACAAGGTTCCTCTATATTTAAACTGGGGAGTGGAGCTACTACTCCAACTCATCCTAGTCAACCAGCATTAAGTCTTTAGAATAAAGCTATGACTGGTAAGAATAGCGAACTAAACACATATGCCTAGAAAGGAAAGGATTAAAACATGTTAATGGTTGCAAAGTAGCCAGATGTTGATCGTAGATATTCTCATTAGAAGATCAACAAGCAAGATTTAATGGTAGTCAGGAATTTCAGTGAAGATATGAACTATACAAGCAATAAGAGCTAATAAAACAACAATAATAATACAAATAATCACAACAATAAGAAGGATGAAAATGAAATATATAAGAATTTAAAGAGAGATGATAAAGGAGGGATTGTCAGTAGATCAGTCGTAGGTTCATCCGATTTAATGTAGTAAATAATACAGTCAAAGCAGCCAAAGGTTCTGGAGAATTAAGTTACTCAAAGCAGTTCCTAAAGAATTAAAAATCAGCTGTTTCACACTCAACAAACTGGAGGTCAAATGGCAGCGATGAGAAGAGTCTCAACATTAAATCCTAATATTCAAGGAGCACTCTCATTCCCACTAGCCTTATTTGCTCCAAATCTAAGTCAGGAATTTGATATTAACTAGAAATAACCTGACCTCTAGTCTGATAAATCTCAAAATGGCTCTGCTCCTAAGTAATCAATTCAAGCCATTGTATCAACTTCAAACAAGCAAGGTGTGACAGCTTAATTACAAAAGAAACTCTTGAATTCAGATTTTATTAAGGACAATTTTTCCGCTTCAGGAGACTTTCTGCAGCACAAACATTTTTCAACAATCAAATCACGCATTTATACTGCTTAGTTTGAGGATGAAAGGTGATTAAATGACTTAGCTTAAATCTGCACGTAGCATCAAGAAACCAGACAGTAAAGGAATCTGGAAAAACACAGTGAGATTCAAAATGTATGGGCCAGCTAGGAAAAGTTTCTTAATAAGAGAGTTATGAGAAATTGTAAGAGTAGCTGTTCACTCATGAGGGCGCAAGATATATTCCGTGGAAAGTAGCTCTTCCTTGAGAAAGTGTCCAGTTCAAAGGAATTGATAAATGGTTTCTCAGAGAACGACTGGTATGGATCGCTAAGGGAAGATTACCAAGTACTTGAAAATTAGAAAACAAACACTTGGAAAACTCTCTGGGCCAATAAGGAAAGTGAGACTGAATCTAAATTTAACCAGATTAAGACAATGGAACCTAAAGAAGTAAAAACTAGTGGTTACACACACTTGAATTCAAGGACACCTTTAAATTTTCTCTGTTCTACTGATCCGAAGCCCGCATGGAAGGTATAACTTGATAAGAAAACTAATCAATATAAGTAGATTTTAAGAGCTAATATGAAGTCTAATTACTAGTAGGCAAGACCACAGGGTTAAGCGTTTGGAATGACAGCTACTTCTATAAACGATCAAAACTTTCTTCAAACTACAATTAAGTCTTATGATCAAAATATTTAAGAATGGATTGAAAAACCTGTATAATTTTTGTAGCCTTATATTGAGGATGTAATTGACTCAGTCAACATTGCTAAGATTGATTACAAGCAATTTATAAAGTAGCTGAAGCAGTATTGTATGGACTCAGATAAAAATTTGAGTCAAAATACTGTAAACTAATTCTTTGGAATTGAGGGAATATAGGGTCAGAGTAAATTAAACATAGAAAAGAATTCTAATTTGGGATAGTTTATTAAGAAAAACATGAGATACTTTATCTAAACTAATTTTGGTAATCTCCTGTCTAAAGATGATCCAAAGTAGATGAATCAACAGAATCAACAGCAGGCTAATAGCATGAATAGATCTCCTAGTCTTACAAAAATGCGTACATTGAGCTCAAACAATAACAGTACTATAATTCAACATAAAAGCAAACCTTCAGTTGACATTCAATCTGAAAAATCCCTTCATATAAGAAACAGTGACAAAAGAGTTAGTATTAACAATCATATAAATGTCGATGACAATTACAGCAATAATCAGAGAAAGGATCACCAAGATGACGAAGAAGAGTATATTGAGGTTAATTATAACCCCAAACATTTTTACAAATGAACATCGTTTTCAACATACAAATATTTTATATTTACTCATTATTCAAATAATTTTCTTCCTGGGGTTTTGGGGTTTTGGGGTTTTGGGG